CCTGACACCGCGTCCCTGGTAGCTGCCACGCCCTTCCTCTTCCCCGCGCCCACGACGCCGGCATCGTATTGGGTGGGAGGAAAGAGCCAAGCAGCTGCCGAAGACTGGACATGGGTCGATGGGTCCCCCGTCCGAGTGGAGATGAGCGTGTTGCTGCCGCTGGAGGAGGGGCCAGTGGACGGGGGTGAAGAGTGTCTGGCGCTGGTGGAAGGGCGCGACGAGGCCTTGCTTGTGGCCACGTCGTGCATGGGATCTCGGGGCGCCCTCTGCCAGTACCCTCCGCCTATGATCTACGCCTCCCGCACTCCTGCGACGCCCGCCCCGATGGCTGACGACACCAGCCCGCCCGTCATCGCCTTCCACGATAATGCCTTTGACCTTGAAGACCACGACTTTAGGGTCTCGGACGTAATCTTTTAGGAGTTAGTAAAAAAAAAATACTTGTACCTCTTAATGAATATAGACACAAATGCACTGACGTATATATAGAGAAGAAAGAAACGCAGCCACAATAACACAACCAAACAGAAACGTGACGTTCGAGCCATACCAGCTCCTCTTCAGCCATCTTACTTTATTATTGTAGCTGTGTTTTGCTGTATCTCTAATATGATTTAATTCATTATATTTTCACCAATGCAATGTAAGGCCTGAGTTATGGGTTTCCACTCTCTAAGGAAAACATCCGAGCGACAGGGAATACAGTGACCGAATCAACTAGATTTTAGCATCACGGTTAACTGATGACTGGAAGCTTCCTTTTAATATCGTACTAATTACATGACCTACGCGAAAAATATGCGATTAGAAGATAGGCCTGATTACAGTATCTAGATAATCATGATAAATATTTGAAATTAATTTATTGCTGCGTCATCAGATTCTGTATAATGTCCTGTTTTGTGTGTTCCTTTCACTTATATCATTACTATTATCATTCTCTAGGCCATTTGGATATTTGACGGGCATGCAAGACTATGTTGATATTCACTTTTTCGTCATTATACTTTTTACCTAACTCTGAATGTCCTGAATGTGCTCCTTTCATGTAAGTTCCATAAGACAAAACTGGACAGCTATGTGACATCTCAAACGCACACATACACATTCATACACACAGGAGCATACGAATTCTTACATTTACGTAAAACTTCAGAAATACACAGAGAAAGAAACACATAAACACACACACACATCCCCTCCCCTCAACACACACACAAATGCATGTGGAATCACCTTCGTAAACTATATGTATGTAACAATGTTTGTAACCCCAGATGACATGTGTTCCAATAAACGGTTTACTTGTATCTTGTCTTTATATCATACATCAGATAAATCATAAAACATGATATTGTATAGACATAAATAAAGCATATATTAAAAAGTCGACAAAAGTCCACATATCTGTTTTTTTTATATTATTATCTATCTGCTCATCTATCCATCTATTGTTTGTATGTGTGTGTGTGTTTGTGCAATTCTGCCTCGCTTTATAATGGTCTGAACTTTACTCTCTGAATCTTATTATCGAGAAGATATAAGAAAAAAAAACACATACTCATATTTACATATTATATTATTCTTTATACAGATATACATAGACGCATGTTCTGTAGATACAGTGTACACATCTGCCATATGCATCATCGTTCATGACCATCTATGTATATATAGGAATATATACAAACGTATATATGTATGTATATGTATGAATGTATGTATATATACATACAATATATATGTATACACACACACATATATGTATGTGTGTGTGTGTGTGTGTGTGTGTGTGTGTGTGTGTGTGTGTGTGTGTGTGTGTGTGTGTGTGTGTGTGTGTGTGTGTGTGTGTGTGTGTGTGGATGCATATATATAAATATAAATAAAAGTATAAATATGAGTATAAATATAATATAAATATATATATATAAATAAGTATATATATATATATATATATATATATATATATATATATATATATATATATATATAAGTATATAATATATATATATATATATATATATATATATATATATATATATATATATATATATATATATACATGTATATATATACATACATACATACATACATACACACATATACACACCGTTTTGTCTGTATCCATATATTGATCTATTTGTCTGTCTGTTTGACTATATACATCTATCTACATTTATCTATCTACTTATAAATATACATATATGTATCTATATATAGTATATGTATATGTATATATATGTATGTATATATATATATATATATATATATATATATATATATATATATATATATACATACTGATAGATAGATAAACATATAGACAGAGATATAGCTATAGATATAGACATGCCACTATACATACAAATGTGTACATACACTTGTATTAACACTAATTCAGATCAAAATAACACTAGTTTTTGGTATTGAAAAAGTTTACATCACAATGAACAAATCCCCTACATTAATAGCATCAATTATAAATGTAAGAGAATGGTCCAAAACGATTATTGAAAATATGGCATAAGTATCTATTCTATAATCTGAAACTTTGGCCAAAATGACTATTATCTTCGTGTCGATTTCCTTTCAAAGTCGAATAGCATCACGTTTTCTTCAAGTAAATGATGTCTTCTCCTGTGTCTCTACTGTACCTCTGTCCCTCTCTTCTCTCTCTCTCTCCCTGTATTCTCTTCTTGCTCTATTTCCATGTTTATCTTATTAACAGCTATCCATCCTTCTACTTCCCAAATACAAACGTTCCACTAATCAGTCATTTTTCCTTCTTCTAATACCATCTATAAGCATCAATTCTAGTACACTTACGATTAAATCACATTTTTTTTTTAGGGATAAAACCTCCCGTCCTTCCTCCTCTCGCCTCTGCTTCTCTCCTCATCCTCCTCTTACTTTAAACCCTTCTTTTCCTCCTCCGTTCACCCTTCTTCACTTCCTCTTCTCTTTCTTTTAAACCCTTCTCTTTTTTCACTCCCCCTTTCTCCTTTCTTCTCAGCATCCTCGTCTTACATCAAATCACAGCCTCGCTCGTTTCAACGCCCTCTCTTGGCAATAGACTTAACAGGATCGAAATCCATTATGAGCTGCCTCGCGTCCACTGGAGCTCCTGCCACTTGCCGGAGGTGGAGGGGCTTCAAGTTAGAAGGATCATGTAAGCTGGCATCGAGGGGGTCTTGGGAAAAGATCTTCACGAGGCTTGAGAAGACGCCGGTGACTGCTTCACCCACTTTCGTTTTGACGAATCTGTGTGGGACGTCGCTGTTAGTTTCGCACATTCGCCTGTGATTCTATCTACCTATCACTATACATGCATACATACATACATTCATATATATACGTGTGTGTGTGTGTGTGTGTGTGTGTGTGTGTGTGTGTGTGTGTGTGTGTGTGTGTGTGTGTGTGTGTGTGTGTGTGAATATATATATATATATATATATATATATAAATATATATATATATATATAAATATATATATATATATAAATATATATATATATATATATATATATATATATATATATATATATATATATATATATATATAAATCAACACACCCACGCAGACACACACACATATATACACACACTTATATACATATAGATACACACACACACACACACACACACACACACACACACACACACATATATATATATATATATATACATATATATATATATATATATATATATATGTGTGTGCGTGTGTGTGTGTGTGTGTGTGTGTGTGTGTGTGTGTGTGTGTGTGTGTGTGTGTGTGTGTGTGTGTGTGTGTGTGTGTGTGTGTGTGAGTGTGTGTGTGTTTGTGTGTATACATACAACATATATGTACATACATATATAAATACGCATATGAATACACACACACACACACACACACACACACACACACACACACACACACACACATATATATATATATACACACACACACACACACATATATCATAAAAGAATGCCTGCTCCCACGACAAAGGAAGATGGTAGAAGCGGCGTTCATTCATTCAACTAACAACTCCAACACCGCAAGAGGGAGCCACGAACTAGCTAAGGTCGTCGCACGCCTAATTACTGACGTGACCTGACCGCTCAGAAAATGTATATGTATCTTTTATTTTATATGCCGTGATGCAGCAGTAAAAGACCTTCGGCATATTCGTGTGTTTTCCTGTACTTCCCTTGATATATATATATATATATATATATATATATATATATATATATATATATATATATATATATATATATATATATATATATATATATATATATATATATATATATATATATATATATATATATATATATATATATACGTATATATATTTGTACATATATATTTATACATACACACACATACATACATGTGGGTGTGTGTGTCGATGTTAATATATGTGGGTGTGAGTGTGGATGTTAATATATCATCATATCATTCAAAACTACTCTGGAGCGAGATCATTTTCCTATTGTCTTGCACTGTGAATAATAATAACAGCAGCACCAATAATTAACAAGTAAAAAAAAACTAAATCCTATAGTAACTATATATAACTATACCAAAGCAATAGCATTTCCCACACACCTCTTACTTTATAACATCATATATATATGTAAGATAAATATAACATAAAAACGGAAAACTTACCGAGATAGTAATGAGCCCCGTTAACAAGAATTCTCTTACCTATCCAATCCGGTCTTCTTCTTTTCTTCTGATCTCTTCTCCGTTGCCTTGAGACTTTGGTGATAAAAAATAAAAATATATTATAATGACGACAACAACAGCCAACAACAGCAACAACAATATTTACATTTGCATTTGAATTTGTTTAATAGTTATGCAATTATTCCATTTTAATAGCATTTCATACCTGTCTACAAAAAAAACTCTATTCCCTCTAATCTAACCAACTTATAAATTCTTGTGGTAAAACAAAGGACATTCATATATCTATCTACATTAATTTCATCAACTAATTTAATTTTTTACTTGTATTTGTTCATCATATCAACCCTGTTTTCACACTGTAGTTTCGTCTCCCCTTCCTTGCAAGTTACCACTGTCATCTGTAAATAAAAGAAAACGAGTTAGATAACGTGGTAATCATTTATATAATCATAAAATTTGCATATATATATAATCGGTAATCATAATATCTACAAATAAAAGAAAACGGCTTAGATACAGCGGTAACAAGTGTATAGTTACTGCGTTTGTTGAATAATCGTTCTTGATGTGTTTCGTTGCTATTTTTACTTATATAAACGTTTTGCTTACATTACTGCTTTTGCGATTCTTCTACATTATTTTTTTATTTTTTTAATTTTTTAAATAAAAAAGGCTTTCTCTTTTTTATGATTTTCATATGGATACGTGTCGACTATGTGTTTCCTATGTTAGAGCCATTTTTTTCTTTTTAATAAATACTACTATTATAGCTACCACTGCTATTTTTACTAATACTGCTGCTACTAGTACCACTACTTCTACTAATGTTGATAACAATTATCATTATTATTACTGTTGCCGTGATGCCCGTAGTGTAAACAATAACAATAACAAAAATAATGATACAAATGATAATAATAATGATAATAACTATAATGATAATGATGATGATGAAGATGATGATGATAGTGATAGCAATTGTAATAATAATAATACCAATAATAATAATAATAATGATAAAAATAATAGCAATTGTAATAATAATAATACCAATAATAATAATAATAATAATAATAATAATAATAATAATAATAATAATAAGATAATAATAATATTAATAAAATAAAATAGTAATAACAATAAAATAATAATAACAATGAAATAATAATAACAATAATGATAACAACAACAACAGCAAATACACAAAATGAACTCACTTTTGAGGAATCGGTCCCATTGTAGAACTCGTAGAGGTGAAAAGGAACTGGTCGCTGCTTGTGTTGTCTGAGGAGGTAGTCCACGTAGCGAATTGCTCGGTCTATCTGCAATTGAGTCATTGATGGATTGATAAGAAAAAAAAAAAAGCAAAAAGAGCATGTGGGTATTTTAAGGGGTAAAGTTATTTAGGTGTGAGGCTTTTTAATTGGGTTTTTAGAATATTATGATGGCGGTGCGGTCTCTTTATCTCCCATCTCTGTCATTTTTAGTCTCCCTTTCTCTTCATCTCTCTCTTTACCTTTCTCTGTCTTTCCCTCTCCCATTTCATTCTTCCTTCATACTTCTCACGTTCCTCTTTCCCTCCCTTTCGTAATCTTATCGATACTTTATCAAGCTTGAAGAAAACCTCGTTTTTCGTTTTTCGTTAAGTAAAAAAAAGTACCTTATCGTTTTCGAGATATCTTATCGAAAAAAAAACAAAAAAAAACACACAACTGATTTGCAAGGGACAAATTATGTAGCCGAAAAAAATTCCAGAGAAAAGTAAAATCGCCAGTTCAAAGACTTTACTCTTATTTACTATAAAAAGCTTTATATATTTTCTAATATGTAGACAATAAATAGTGGATGACAAACAATGCAGAACAAACAGGTAAGAAATATTCGGTAACAAAGAATGTAATTACCCTATAAATCCAGCTTCTGAGTGATTTAGGCAAAATCCCATGACCCTCTTATAAATATATATGTATATATATATATATATATATATATATATATATATATATATATATATATATATATATACATATATACACATTTATTTAGTGGAAAAGTACTGTGGTGATTTATCAACACAGGAGAAATCACTGACTGGTTGCACTCAAACTATCACTATCACTATCAAACTATCTACCCAAATATATGTAAATAGATATCTGTAAAAATTGTTTAGACTAGTAACCCTTGAGTTGATGTTCGTTTGTCCGCCATTTTTCCATTGTATATATATTGCTGAATACAATATTTCCATTACTCTTTTCTCCGTCAATAACTATAGGTATTGCCGCAGCAGATAGTTTAAATGATATTAATCTAATGTTAATATTACAGCTGAAGGTCTTTTCATACTAGTTTCTTTATAAAAAAAATGTTAGATATAGAGTAATTCAAACAATACCAACAATTACATACATGGAATAAGAACTAGCTATCCAACCGATTATTTTTTCTTGTGTGTATTTTATTTAAAGATTTTTTTTTAGATATTCTAAAGGAAAAAATTACCTTATCACGGTCCTCATGACTAAATATTTCCAGACCAGCCGGTATGAACTCCTCGCGCCTCTTAAACTTTTTGTTGGTGTGGCTCTGGAATGGAGTGGATATGAATCAAGTAAATACTATTGAAAAGAAAAAGAAGAAAAAAAAATACAATAGTGTTCATAAGCAATTGTGACAATGCAAATCAACAACCACAATAATTTTAATCAGTAATGATAACTGATAATGAAATAATAATGATTATAACATTAATAACAACCGTATCAACACCATTAACAATATCATCAAGAACAGGGGGGGGGGAATTAATG